TCCCCTGCCAAGTGCCTCTCTGCCTTGGAGCTTGCCGATTATGGACTGAAACCTCTACAAAGTGTGAGCTAAATATATCGTTTCTCTTTAATAAATAAATAAATAAATAAATAAAGCAGAAATACTAAATCTTCTGGAAGAGAGAGTAGGTAGAATGTTTGAGGACACAGGAGTAGGCAAAGACTTCATGAACAAAACCCAGACCTCATGGGAAATACTACAAAGAATCAACAACTGGGACTTCATCTTATTAAAAAGCTTTTGTACAGAAAGAGAAACTGCCAACAGAGTGGAGAAACAACCCACAGCATGAGAAAAATATTTTACCAGCTATTCATCAGACAAAGGACTACTATCTAGAATATACAAAGAACTACAAAGAGTCAGACCCCTCCCAAATTTAAAGACCCAATCCAAAAATGGCCACCTGAAATGAATAGACACTTCTCAGATGAAGAAGAAACGGTGAATAAAGATATGGAAAAATGTTCAACATCACTGGTCATTCGAGAAATGCAAATTAAAACAACGCTGAGGGGCTGGGGATTTAGCTCAGTGGCACTGCACCTGTGTGGGAAATGCAAGGTTCTGATTTAGATTCCCAGTACCAAAACAAATAAACAAACAAACAAACAAAAAACGCTGAGATGCCATCTCAGTCCAGAAAAAATGGCTGCTATCAAGAAATCAAAAGGGCCAGGGATTTAGCTCAGTAGTTCCACTGCCTGCTGCGCAAGCGCAAGGACCCCAGTTCGATCCCCAGTACCAAAAAAGAAAAAAAAGAAAAGAAATCAACCAATTACAAATGCTAGAGGGGCTGTGGGGAAAAAGGAACCCTTCTTCACTGTTGGTGGGAGTGTAGAGTGGGGCAATCACTGTGGAAATCAGTGTGGCGATTCTTCAAAAACCAAAAACTATGGGCCGGGGATTTAGCTCAGTGGTTCCGCTGCCTGCTTCACAAGCGCAAGGACCTGAGTTTGATCCCCAGTACAAAACAACAACAACAACAACAAAAAACCCGAAAACTAGAGGTTTCATTTCACCCAGCTATTTCCCTTGTTGGTATCTTTCCGAAAGAATTAAAAGCATCCTACCACAGTGATATATGCACACCTATGTTTACAGCAGCACAGTTTGTAATAGCTAAATCTTTTTTTTTTTTTTGGTACTGGGGATCAAACTCAGGTCCTTGCGCTTGCACAGCAGGCAGCAAAACCACTGAGCTAAACCCCCGCCCCTGTAATAGCTAGATCTTGAAAACAGCCCAAATGCCCATCAACTGACAAATAGAAAAAGATGTTATTTTCGTATAGAATGGAGTACTACTCTGCCATAAAGGATGAGCTGCAGAGATTTATAGCTAAATGGATGCATCTTGAGATCATACTTTTTTTTTGATAATACTCTTGAGTAAAATAAATCAGACACACGTTTAAATACCACATTGTTTCTCTGGTTTGAGAAACCAAAAGTGGAAATAAGGACTAAAATGTATGAAAGATATTGGGAAATGGGAAGAAAATGTTCAAAGGGGAAGGGGAACAAGGGAGGAGGGAGGGAGAAAGGAAGGAAAGGATAAGAAAAAAGTGAAAATAGAAGGAAAAATGGAAACAAAGCTTTTGTACATAGGAAGGAGAGGGGGCTTGAGGGGAGAGGGGAAATGGGCAAAAGAGGCAGGATATATCATGTACAGGTGCAAATTCCCTACAATGAGTGTTATCATTATATATGCCTAAAATGTACCAACAAAGGTTTTGCTATAAAAAAAGTTCCTCCTGCAAACCAGTTCCAAAACACACGGTCAGGTATAATCACAACAACAATCCCACTTCTCTGGTATTAATTTCCTGTATTAGTCACTATGCTGTCCCTGGGACAAAATACTCATTATCTGCAACCTAAAGGAGAAGTTTATTTTGGCTCGTAGTTTAAGGGGGTTCAGTCCATGGTTGTCTAGCTCCAAGGTAGAAACAGTATTGTGGAAGCTACTCAACCTATGGCAGACAGGAGGCAGAGAGAAAAAGACCCATGGACAAGAATATACCCTTCTAAGTCATGTGCTCAGTGACCCACCTCTTCTCACAAAGCCATACCTCCTAATAGCACCTTCAGCTATGAATTCATTAATGGATTAACCCACTGATAAGTATAGAATAGTCCCCCCATGATCCAATCACCTTCCAAAAGTCCTACCTCTGAACCCATAAAACTTGCAGCACATTTTAGATAGGTAGCTTGTTTTTATCAATTTTGATATAGCATTTAAGTACCATATTTACAATTCATTCATTTAAAGTGCACAGTTTTGGCCAGGCGTGGTGACACACATCTGTAATCCCAGCATTGAAGAGGCTGAGGCAGGAGGATTGCCAAGAGTTCAAGGCCAGCTTGGGCTACATAGCAAGACCCTATCTCAAACAAACAAAAGGTACAGTTTTTAGTATATTCACAGTTGTGCAACTACTGCCACAATGTAATTTGAGAACATTTTCAAAATTTGGGGAAATAAAAAAGTCTGTATCCATTTTCTTAGTTTGCTCAGGCTGCCTTAACAAAATATACTGAGTAGATTTTTTTTTTGTACCGGAGATGGAACTCAGGACCTTGTGGTTGCGAGGCAGGTGGCAGAACCACTGAACTAAATCACCGGCCCTAGACTGAGTAGATTAAACAAAAGAAATTTATTTTCTCACAGTTCTAGAAAATCCAACATCAAGGTACTGGCTGATTTGCTCTCTGGTGAGTTTTTTTCCTGGCTTGTAAATGGCCATCTTCTCACTGTATCCTCACCTGTAGGGTGGTACAGTTCTCCTCGGCCTTGTCCTCTTCTTCCTGCTCTCCTTTCCCCTTTTTCTGTATCTGTTACTAGTGATTGAACCCATGGCCTTCACACTGAGCTACATTCCCATCCCTTCCTTTTAAAAATTTTGACACAGGGTAAGTTGCCCAAGTGGGATTCAAATTTGTAATCTTCGTGCCTCAGCCTCACAAAGTGCTAGGATTACAAATATGCGCTACCACACCCATTGTCAGCTCTACTTACAAGAACACTAATTCTTTTGTATCAAGGCTCTACTATATGACCCTATATAACCTTGATTTTTTCTGTATAGACCCTATCTTTAAATACAGTCATATTGGAGGTTCAGGCTTCAACATATGAATTTAGGTGAGGGACATAACTCAGTCCATAGTACTCATTAAGTCACTCTCTCCATTCCATCTCTCTCTGGCCTTTGACAATTAATTTACTTTTGTCCTCTACAGATGTGTCTATTCGGGAAATATTTTATAAATGGAATTATATAATATATACTCTTTTGTGACTTGCTTCATTTAGTATCTTTGAGGGTTCAACCAGTTGTCGCGTGTCAGCACTGTATTCTTTTTACAGCTGAGTAATACTTTGTGTGGATTTGTCCATCCTCTCATCAGTTGATGGACACTTGGGCTGTTTCTACCTTTTGGGTATTATGAATAATACTACTTATACCCATTCATGTTTGGGTGTTGACATATGTGCTCAGTTTTCATGTCTCTTACACATGTATCTAGAAGTAGAATTGCTAGGTTGTGGTTAGTGTTTAACTTTTTGTTTTCCACAGTAGTCACAACATTTTACAGTGTAAAATGGGGCTCAGTGTACAGGGCTCCACTTTATCCTCATCAACAGCTGCTTCACCTTCTATTTGATTATGGCCATCCTATGGTTTTGGCATGAATAATGTCAGGCACATCCTACTTTTGGAAACTTTGGAAAACCTTTAACCTTGTGAACACTATACAAGGATTGTTTTCAGGGCAGCTTCAGAAGTAATCGATAAAAGGGAGGGAATATGAAGCAGAAATCATATCACCTTCCTCCAGGTACTGTAATCTCAAAGTAGGCATATAGGAACTAAGCAGCCCTTGGGAGGCGCAGACTGCCCCATGAAGTTAGTTCTGACAGTTAAGAAGCGGCCAGTCTTGTGCATAGCTGGAGGAACATTCCATGATCCTGAGGCCAGGGCAGGTGTAGCTCAGTGGTACAACTTGCCAGACCTGGGGTTCTATCTATCCCCAGCACTAGAGGGGGGTACCCCAAGGCCAGAAAGACCTTGGTTTTCTGGGTCCTGAGCAACCAGCCCAGTGTCTAGCAGATAAACAGCATCATAATCACCTGAGTGGGGGCCTTCCTTTTGGCCTCCTTTTTTCCAGGGTCAATGTGTTCCTAGAAAGTTGTTGCTCCTCCCAGTGACTAACTAGCCCAGTATAGGGCAAGTGAGGCACTGAATGGAGCTGTTCCCCGGGGCAGACTCAGATATTGGGGGGAAACGCTCTTCTGGTAGATAGTTTTCACCTGTGCTGGTACAAGTAACGATAACGGAAACTACGGAGCAGCAGAGGACTAAAAGAGACTCGTGGTAGGGATGACAGCATAGGGCTTTAGAAAGCGGCTTGATGAAGCAGTGCCTACAGTCGATGTCTTTCAAACCTTCAAGTTATATGGACCCATGGACCAGCTCTCTTTCTGTGACAGTTTCAGTCACTTGCAACCAAAGAAGTCCTCACAAATGTCCCAAAGCTACCTGGTCCTCAATGCACATAGGCTTATCCAAAAGCTGCCTCCTAGGGCTTCATCCCCAGCCCTTCGGGGTCCCATTCCCCAGCAGCCCCAGGCTCTGGGCTCCTGGGTGGGCACTAGTCTCTTGGGTGGTCACAGAAAGGACATGCCTTCCTTCCAGGCCGACCCAAGGCGACACATCCCTGGACCAGCTACAGCCCTCCTTCTGTGCACCAGTTTTGGGACTCGCGAGGCTTCTGGAAGGCAAGGACCAGGTCTCACCAGGATCAGCGTGGGCAGCGGCGCTATACGGAGCCTCACGAACGTTTCGGCGCCTGAAGACGCAACCTCCACCTTCCGCGCCCGGTCGGGTCCCGCCTTTGCGGACCATCCTGTCTCCCGCGCCTGATCCGCAGCCTAGGATTGGCCCTAGAGGCTTCCGTTCCTCTGGTGGGCGGGGCAACGGGCCACGCCAGGAGCGTGGCGTGGCGCGATGGCCGCCGGGCGGGCGGGCATGGGAGAGTGTGGGGTCAGCTCGAGGTCCGGCACGCTGGTAGAGCCAGTGGCCACGCTGGCAGAGCCAGAGGCCACCCCGGACGGAGAAGCGGCGGAGCTGCTACCCTTTCTGACCAGGAGTGCGCGCGCAGACACGCAGGCGGCGGCAGCACAGCATGCCTTGGCGCTAACCGGCTCAGAGCCGGGCCGTGTGCTGTTAGCGAGGCAGGCGGGGCTGCTGCGGGCGCTAGCCGAGTTGGCAGAGGCTGCGGCCCCAGTCCCGGCCCGCGACGCCGCCCGTGCGCTAGTGAACTTGGCTGCTGACCCCAGCCTACATGAACAGCTGCTGGCAGCCGACCCCGAGCTACCTGCCCGCCTGCTGGGCCGCGCCCTAGACCCCCAGTGGCCCTGGGCAGACGAGGCTGCAGCCGCTCTGGCCAATCTCAGCCGTGAGCCAACGCCCTGTGCTGCGCTCATGGGCACGCTGGCGGCGGCGGCGCCTGGATCGGGTCTGGAGAGGCTGGTGTGCGCGCTGTGCACATCCGGCTACAACGCGCGCGCGCCCCTGCATTACTTGGGGCCTCTACTCTCCAACCTCAGCCAGCAGCCAGCGGCGCGAGCCTTCCTGCTGGACCCTGACGGGTAAACTAGGCCTCCGCGAGGTTGGGGAGGGGCCAGGGAGGAGGACGGATGGCAATAAGTAGTCCTTCCCAACAGGTGCGTGATCCAGCGGCTGCTGCCCCTTACCCAATACTCAGACTCCTCGTTGCGCAGGGGCGGGGTGGTGGGGACCCTGCGGAATTGCTGCTTCGAGCACCGTGAGTGGTGGGGGAGGGCATGGGCATTACTGAGGTTGGGATTGGACTCTGCAGCACCTAAGGACTGAACTGACCCCCATCCTTGTCCCCACTTCCAGGGCACCATGAGTGGTTGCTCGGGCCTGGAGTCGACATTCTCCCCTTCTTGTTACTACCCCTGGCTGGGCCTGAGGATTTTTCAGAGGAAGAGATGGAGCGTGAGTGCCTTGGATGGGAACCCCAGGATTGGCCAGCCGGGAGAGGAGGCAGCAGGGGCAGGAGAAGGAAACGTCCCAGAGGGAGTTGCTAAGTAGAGGTGAGGAGACTTAACCAGGCAGAGCCTGGACCAGCCAGGCTCCTACTGATGGCTGCCGCTGTCCTCCCGTAGGGCTTCCTGTTGACCTGCAGTACTTGCCACCAGACAAGCAACGAGAGCCTGATGCTGACATCCGGAAGATGCTCATTGAAGCCATCATGCTGGTGAGTGGGTGTCCTGCTGTATTTCAGCCAGTCTTCAGCACACACACATTGACATCTAAGTAACCTCTACCATCTCCCAGCTGACAGCCACGGCACCTGGTCGGCAGCAGGTGCGGAACCAGGGAGCATACCTGATCCTTCGAGAGCTGCACACCTGGGAGCCAGAGCCTGATGTGCAGTTGGCCTGTGAGAAACTCATCCAGGTGGGTGCAGGTTTGGAGAGGATGGTGGGTTCAGGGTTGGAGGGTGCAGGGTTGAAAGGGTGGTCGTAGCTGGCTGCCTGCTCACCTGCCTATTCTGCTGGCAGGTGCTTATTGGGGATGAACCAGAGTGTGGCATGGGAAACCTGCTGGAAGTGCAGGTGCCTGAAGATGTGGAGCAGCAGCTACAGCAGCTAGACCGCCAGGAGCAGGAGCAATTGGAACAGCAGCAGCAGGGGCTGGCTGGAGAGTCAAGGGGAAAAAGGCCTGCAGCTACCTGAGGTCCCCGCTGCCTGATGCCAGCTCCAGAGCCACCTCTGCAAGGCTTCTCATACCAGGCCTGCTTCCTGCCACTCTAATCCCCTTGCTCAGAGGTTGTACCTTGATGAGAAGCATAGGCACACTTATGCTCCAGTCTGTGCTAAGAGTTCTGGGTTGAATGCCCATTAAACATTGGAGGTTTGAGAGCATTCTCAATCTCATGTTCTGTTGCTTCCAGTAAAAATGAAGGTTGTTGCACAGCTGAGCCAGAGCTGGCTAGAGCTGGCCAGACCTTGTGCCACAGATTCCTTCATCGATAGCCAGGGAAGCCACCCTTAACTTGTTCCCAGGCACTGTGGTGGGACTGGACAGAAAACATTGCAGTTTCTTATAATTAAAAAACTTAAACAAAAAACATTGCAGTCTCTGAGGAGCCAGCTGAAACTTCCAACTCCCAAAGGCACTGCGTGGTCTGGGCATGTGCCAGCTCAGAGGTGTAAGCAGTACCTCCTGCTGTCAGCCCCATCTCTTGGGGTCTTCTAGGAATGTGCCCCCCTAAGCCTGTCCTTGCTTCCTGAGTTCTATTTCCCCTTTGTGATCAACCTCCATCTTGAACTTGGTCCGCACCCAACCCTCAAGTTAGGTCTGTTCCCTGGCCTCCACTGCACTGAAAGACCTCCAGACCCTCCTGCTCCTAGAGCCTCTTGCCTACCACTTCAGAGAACTTCTAAGTGTGCCTGCAGCTTTGCTGTGTGTCCAAACCTTCCCCCAGCCACTGTCTACCTCTTCAGAGCCTACTGTGGGCCTGGGAGCAGCCTTCTCTGCTTTTCTTCTGGACCTATGATGTGTCCCTTCCCCAGTTCTGCAGTTGTCATAGCATCTCACCTCATTGTGTTCCCTTCTTGAGCCTCTCAGACCTCACTGCCCTCTGCTCATGGGCCTCTTGAGTGCTCTCCCCACTCCTCACATACAGGCCCTACCAGGTCCCTGGGATCCTGATGCAGAGCTCAAGTTGTCTTGGCTGGGAGTTTGCAGTGCCCCATTCCACACCCTTGAATTTGGAAGACCGCCCCACCTTGTGTTCTGTCATGACACCTGACAGTGCTTCACTAAGTGCCAGGTGTCTTCCCCAATGGAGCCTTGTGACCTGCCCCATTAAAGCTCTGGTGCTTTGGGCAGGGATGATGTGTGCCTTGGTGTTTTCTCTGCACTAGAAATCCAGGAGGTAGTGATAGAGCCTCAGCCCAGGGAGGCATGTGCAGGCCATCTGCCTTCTCCCTACAGGAAGATGGCTGCTGTAGGAGACATCCCTGCCCAATACCAGCAGGCTATGAGTGGCACATGCTTCTTGCCTTCCATAATTTGGACATACTGTTTTATATCAGGAGTCAGACCAAAGCCCTGCATGACTCAAATGGGCATGTCAGCTACCAGAGTTGAGCTAGTATTGCTCCTTTGCTAATGGCTGTCACCAAGGCCTAAGTCCTGGTCTGTGAATTGGTAGGCCCCTGCTGAATTATGTGCAGCTGAGGTCAATGTGACTGCAATTAAAATTCTTTCCCCTGAATTACCGCTTCTCACTGACGTGGGTTGCTTGCTAATTGCACCTGGTGCCAGTATTGGTTTCTTCTATCCTAGCAAGATAAGCAGTGCCTATTCCCTTACAGCCCTGCATGGCACCACCATCATGCCAGGTGTTCGGCAGTATTCACTAGATCCCTTCAAAGCTCCCTAACTCCCTATTCCTTCTCACAATTGTATTCAGTAAATACTGGGGCCCCTTGTCTGTGGCCATCAGCAGCACTGATCAGGACCCTAGATTCAGCTTCTCCACTCTTAAATTGTTTTTGTCTTGTTTTGTTTTTTGGTACTGGGGATCGAACTTGGAACCTTGTGCTTGCAAGGCAAGCAGCAGAACCCCTGAGCTAAATCTCCGGTCCTTTTCTATCTGTTCTTGAACAAGGTCCTGATAATGTTCCCTTCCCTGCTCCCTACAAGCTGCACCCTTGGCTCCACAGAATAAACCATTTATCCGCTTACCCCACCCACCTTCCCTCAACTGACTGGGCACTTTACTGAAGGCAAATAATGGAGCACAGAGCCAGTGGCTGCCTGGAGGTATGCTGTGCTGGGCTGCCTACCTTAGTGCCCCAGAGCCCAAGGCTGGTGGAATCCACTCCTTGTATAGTGCTGGCCTCTAGGGGCCCAAGTTCTGGGGCACAGGTGCTCTTCTTGGAAGCATCCTGTCACTTTGGGCACCACAGATGGATTTCAGACCTAATACCCACAGTATGATCCCTGGACCCTGCCTCCACTGCACTGGACCAATGGGAGTCAAGTGGAGGGGCCACTATCTACCACTCCTCAACCACAGCCATACCAAGCACCAAGTCCAGAGCAGAAGAGTATATGTGTCACAGACAGCACTCAGCACTACACAACCACCTGGTACAGGCCTAGATGGGCACGAAGGCAGCTAGAGGAGCCCTTAAAGTAGGTCCTGGCACTCTGCTGGCAAGGCTCATGGCTGCAACCTGCTTCTGCCCCCATCAACCACCCACACCTATGGCCTATGCCCACTGCCACCAATGATGCTGATTTTGGAGGGGTCGTCCTATTCACAGAAGCTAAAGGACAGGGTGGAGACTTGGAGCAGAGGCTAGGTGGTCCTGAGCTCAGCTGTAGGATTCCCTGGTCATCCAGCAGAATGTTCTCACACTTCAGATCCCTCCTGGGGAAGGAAAGGTAGGGCTGGGTTCAAGTTGGCCTCCAAGGTGGGCAGGACAGGGGGATAACCCCGCCAGAGTACAATACCAGCATGGTGGCAATAGACCACCATGCTGACCAGCTGTCAGAATAGCCTTGACTCCTCCTTTTCTTCCAGTCCTAGGCAGCAGCCTGACACCTGTTGATTTGCTCCACCAGCTCCAGCAGCAGGTTCTGATAGATCTCATACAGCTGCACCTGCTACCCTACCATGTTCAGGAGCTTGTAGATAGCATTGAATGACATATCACAGGGCAGGAACTTCTGGGAGAACTCTACAGGAGCCTCAGCCATGGAGATAATCTTGACAGTCACTTATAGAAAGAGGAGGATGGTCATCACAGGCCATGACTCCCTTGGGGATGTGTTGTAACAAGATGGCCCGCTGTCCTTTGTATACAGTGCTGAACTTCCTGGGGTATGCTGGCTGAAGAGTGTCCTTGGAGGGCAGTGATGACCCCTCCTTCTTATCCTGGCCACTTACACGTTCAAGAGACTTGGGAAAGGAGTAGTCAGCCTACAGGGGTCTGAGGAAGCTGGAAGAAGCAGGACCCCCAGGTCCAGGGAGGCTCTGTGGATGGAGCTGGGACAGCTGGAAGGTTCCTGAGTGGGCTTAGGTCAGGGGCTGGCTGGGGCTGGCTGGGGCCTGCCAAGGAGCCCACTGGGAAGGATGTAGGCCTGTCTTACCATTGTGTAGTGTTTGCCCTGTAAGAGAACAGCTTAAGGTTGTGCTATGTGCATTCCTGAGTGGTATATGCCAGATAAATCTCGGAGTAGGCCCCACAGCCCATCTTGGAGGAGAGCAGGTAGCCATTAGCCTTATACTCTCACACCTGTTCCATGAAGATTCTTTCGTCCAGCTTATTACTACTCCAGCCCTTCATACAGAGCAGGGGATTACAGAAGGGGGATTGGCAGTACAGTTTTCTACCAGTCTCATTTGTGTGTTTGCAGGGGGGGGGCCACAGCTGAGTCCTGACTTTCATGTCAGCAGGCAAGGGCTGGAGTCATAAGGGCTTGGGTGGGACCTGTACCTCCCTTAAAGCACCAGCCAAGTTTCTGAAGATTTGCTGGTGATGGGAGGCTCAGGAAGGAGGCTAACACAGCTGTGGACTAGTGTGAAGGCAGCCTCTGGTAAGGGTGGAACAGATCCCCAGGTGGAATGTTCTACTGTTGCACCTGGACTGTGCTTTCAATAAGGGTGTCTGCTTAAGAGCTGCCCTCTCTGAGAATATCTTGTTGGGTTGGCATGGTGCCCCATTTCTGCAGGGCATGAACCCACTTTAAAGGCTAGAGCTAGGATGAGGCCTCTGTTGGCCACTCTGCATGTGGCTGGCCACAAAAAAAATTGTATGTATATATGTATGTATGTATTTTGAGACAGGGTCTGCCCAGGCTGGCCTTCAACTTGCAGTCCTCCTGCTTCAGCCTCCCAGAGTGCTGGGATTACAGCCATGTGCTACCACACTTGCCTCACAAAAGATCTTTTTAAAAGCTGGCAGAGGGCCAGGGATTTAGCTCAGTGGTTCTGCTGCCTGGCTTGAAAGCACAAGGACCCAAGTTCAATCCCTGGTACCAAAAAAAAAAAAAAAAAAAAGCTGGAAAAGATAGTGGGGAGAAAAGGCAGAAAGGCCAGCCTTCTAAGGACATAAGGAAGAGAAAAATGGATGTCTTAATTACTTTCTTGTTGCTGAGACAAAATATCTGACACTCAAAGGAGGAAAGGTTTATTTCAGCTCACAGTTTGTAGAGGTTTCAGTACATAGTCCCTCCAAGTTATGGTGGCATGGCAGAGGGATGTCATAGAGGAAACAATCCACAGCAGGGTAGGCAGGAGGCAGCAAGCAGCAAACAGCCTGCCTTCCATCTTACCCTTTTTTTTTGGTACAGGGGATCGAACTAGGGTCCTTGTGCTTGCAAGGCAGGTGACAGAAGCACTGAGCTAAATCCCCAGCCCCCATCTTACCCTTTTATTCCATTCAGGCTTCAAGCCTAATGGTTGGTGCCACCCCCACTGAGGGTGGTCCTTCCCATCATCCATACCCAGAACTATGCTAAATCAATCAGCAGACTAATTTAGTACCAAACACTTTATTTATTTTTTTGGTACTGGGGATCGAACTCAGGACCTTGCACTTGCCAAGCAGGCACTGTGCTGCTGAGCTACATCCCCAGCCCAGTACCAAACACTCTTAACCCCAGTATCATATACTTTTTTAAAAATTAGAAAAAATGTTTTTTTGGTACTGGGAATTGAACTCAGGACCTTGTGCTTGTGATGCAGATGCCAGAATCACATACTTTTAATCCACATTCATACCCTAGATTCAGCCACCTCTGAAAAGCCCCACCTATGAGCTCATAAGGCTTTAGCGGGACAGCTAGATATAAGCTATAACATTTTGGCCCTAGGGGCTGGGGATTTAGCTAGTGGTTCCACTGCCTGCCTCCCATGTGCAAAGACCCGAGTTCAATTCCCGATACCAAAAATACCCCCCAAAAACCCAAAAAACATTTTGCTCCTTGCTCCCAAAAGACACATTCCTTTATGCAAAAGGCTTTTAGTCCACCTCTAAAAGTTGCCAAAGTCCTAACAGTTTCAGCATGGCTGAAAAGTCCAAGTCCAAACTTTCTTCTGAGATTTAAGGCAAACTCTGGCTGTGAGCCCCAGTACAAATGAAAAGAAAGTTAAACACTTCCAAAATACAGTGGCACAGATAAACATTACCATTCCAAAAGGTACAAATAGGGGGATAGAAAGGAAGGGGACCAAAGAAAGTCCAAAATCCAGCAAGGCAAACATTAAGTCCTATATTTCCATGACCAGCATTGGTGGCAATCTGTGGCAAGATGTGAACTCCAAAGGGCTTGGGTCGCTACACCCCTATGGTACTGCAGGTGGTTGTAGTGCTCATGACTTCTCTCTTGGGCCAGCTTTGCTCGCTCCTTGCAGCTTTCCTCAGACAATCCATATCCCTGGCTTCTCCAAACTTTTGGAGTCTCCATCACACCTTTGGCATTACACTCACAGCTTCACACACTCTGCTCTAAGAGGCACACTGCCTGGCCTTCCAGGCCTTCTGAAATCTGGGTGGAAGCCTTCCTGACCCCACAACCCTTGCATTCTCCGTGCTCATAAAACCAGCACCGTGTGGATGGCACCAAGCTGTACTGCCAGCTAGAGCAGTAGCCAGGCTTCTTTTTTCACTGTATGGGTAGAGTGCCTGGATTGCTGGGCAGTATGAACCCAATCTGGAGGAATAAATTCTCTAGGCAACCGTATTCTGGAACTTGGTACTCTGGGGTTCTTACCAGAGTCTTTCACCTTTGCATTTTTAAGGCTGCAAAGAATGGAGTCCTGCTGGTTCTTGTGATGTGCTCAGGCTATCTTTTCTATTGTCCTCTTCCAAAACACT